TCCAGAAATCAGCTAAAATTTTCTGGCTCTCTGGTGAAAAAAAGTCTAAGGACCAGCCCCTTTGCTAAAAAGTACCAAGTCATAACTTTTTTTTAACCAAGTCATACATTTCCCATGGGAAAAATGGCAACTTCTGTTGTTTTTCTAGTAAAAAGGAAGCTTCCTCTTTTTCCTTGTTTGCTACTTTTCCAAAAACCGTCCCAAACTAACCCACGCTGACTAAATTGCTTCAAGCCGAGACTCTGGGGACCCCCCCCCCCGCAGGACGCTTTCATTTGCCTGTTACCCCTACCTCCAGCATCAACCCCGCTTGGACCGGTGCCTTCATTTCCCCACCCTGCACCGACACTCCACTCGGGGACCGGAACCTCGGCGCCAGTGAACGGCAGGACTAGACCCGACCGCGCCTCCAAAACCTCCGCGTTTCCTCACCACGCGAGGCGAAAAGAAGGTGTCATCAAACCTCCTCGCATCGTTTGCTTAGTTTGGATGACTGGAGGCTCCGACACCTCCTGACTCCCGTGCCGGGCGCACGTGAGGCTCCCGGACGACTGAGCGCAGCGACAGAGCAGGGGACAGCGGCAGGAGGAGGAAGGGCCGGGGCCTCACTCACCGCTCAGGCCTGGCAATGCCACCGCCTCCGCCGCCGCTGAGAGGCGCGCGAGGACCAGCGCTGCAGCTCCTCCAACGCCCGCCCCAACCGCCCCGCGCGCAGCCGCCCTGAGGGTAGGCGGGACCTGTGCCTGAGCGCACCAATCACAGGCGAGGACACTGGATCCGAGGGCGGAGCCGACGGGGGTATCCACGTGGTGGGGCGGGTGTCTGCGGCAAGGGCAGCTGGAGGAGCCCGAGGCAAGTGAAAGAAGGGCAACCCGCAGGGAAGGTGCCAGTGGGGGCACGAGACTGAAGCCGTCTACCATCTCAGTTTTTCCCTTGCGAGTGAGCCCACCAGCCTCAGCCCCACCCCCAGCTTGTTGCACCCCTGTTGCAGCACTAGTACGCATACCTGCTCCCTTAATCCAGCAAGTCACCATTTCTCCCCCTCTTCCTGCCACTCTGACCCCCAGTAGAGGATGGGGTTCCATCCACTTCCTCCCGCATGCCCTGACTGACTCCTGAGACACTGCACCCTTTCTCGTGCTCCCCAGGTTTTTAGTTTCTCCACCCTGCAGATAACCCCCCAATCTTCTGTCTCTCACTGACTTGCCTCTCGTGTGTCATATTCACCCTCAGCAGGCCTAGACGCAGGTAGTAGGAAGTTCAAGTTAAGGAGATTCAGTGGCTGCCCCTTCCAGGGTCTGTTTGAGATTAGCTGGGAACTTCCATAGTCACATGCACAGTTCTGCACATCCCTCATGTGGGCCACGCAAAGGCCCCCGCAGGAGAGAAAAGCCCAGCGGTAAAGTGCACTGTTTTCTTGTCTCTTTACCCAGCCTGCTCTGGCTTCCCCACGTGCAGGAGTTGAGGGAATCTCAAGTTGAGATGGGGGACACTAAGGCAGTTTAGCAGGAAGCCACGTTTTATTGTGGCCAACTCCAGTCCAAAGGCTGAGCCCCAAGAACAGAGTCTCACCTTATATACCCTTGCAAGCAGATTATAGAAGTCACCCAAAGGCGCCCCCCAGGAGAGAAGAACCCAGCGTAAAATACAGTTTCATCGCCTACGCTGATTCACAACCCCCCATTCTCCGACCCCCAGCTCAGATCCTCCACCCCTCTCTGCATGCCGTTCAGCCCAGTGCTCAGAGCATGGGACTCCTTAGGCTTCATCTGAGCTCCTTGCCCAGATAGGCCCATCTTTCAGCTGATTCCACTTCTCATGCTCAAGTTCATTAATGCTCACTCCGGTTCAGCCAACCCCACCCCCGTACCCACCGCCATTGTAACTTAATAGTTAGAATCTCAGGTTCTGGGTTGACTGTGAGAGGACACATTTACTCTCTCTGGCTGTGTCGGGTGTGAATATATTGCGTCTCCACGCCCAAACGGAGCAGTAGGATAAAGTTATGTAAGATTAAGCTTCGTCAGGAAAGCCACTGGGAACACTGCTGGACAACGAATGGTCTTCTCTTCCTGTTTTTTTCTGTTTGGATTTTTCTGCACTTATCTTGCTGCTGCCTGCAGCAGGTCTGGAGGCTATTTTTTGGCACTCACACATCCCCTCCCTGGCCCCATCAAGTGTGATTCCCGGCTGCCTCAGTTCTCTACTTCTTAGCAAGAGTCTGCTAACAACCCCGCGGGAGGTGTTTCCTGCTTGCCAGATCTAATGGCTGTTCCCATTTGGCCAACCAAATGGGAACAATATCCCTGAGGGATATTGCTCACTTGTTCAGCAATTGTGCATCAGCTCTGGCCCGGAGCCAATGAAGTTCCCTACCTTGGGGAGGGAGATCTCTATCAAGGTTGTGTCTTACTTAGGTATTTTCTCCCAGTCACAGGGTAGGGAATACATAGTCTCATAAGAGTACCTCCTTATTAATAATCCCATTATGATTAATAATTTTAAACTTTCTTTGGTCAAATTACTGTGCACTTTCTTTGCCTCCTGATGGGGACACAGATTGATACAGCTGCTTACTTGGTCAAATCCCTTAACCTCTTTTAGTCTCCCATCTTCAATGAAAGTAATTAGCAGTTACCTTCCCTAGACGGTTGCAGAGATTAAATGATGCAGTGCACGGAAAGTGGTTAATAGAAGACCTGACACAGATTTTGTGTTTCTTGCAGGAAGACAAAGGGGGGGACAGAGGATCAAGAGAGTCAATGAAAGAGACTACTAGAGTAAAGGAATGATAAGGAGGGTCATTAAGAAAGCCAACTAGGAGACTTTTATAAGTGCACACCTGGGAAAGCTGAGAGCACAGCTACTATAATTGTTTTAAGACTTTAGAATCAAAACTACATGCAAGTTAGAGCTAAATAAAGTTAGTACTTTTTGCCTTTTCAAAGAGGCCAACCTGGGAACAAACTATGTAAATATTGAAATCAGCTGCTGGAGATATTTGGCAGCTATAGGAATAGAAGCCAAAGAAAGTTACACTGCAGCTGAAAGCAATAGAACCAAGAATAACTTCTGTGTTATTATTTGCAATATCTAATTGAAAATGTAAAAAATCTTAAACCGCCCAAAGCAGAGCAGGCTTCATAGACTGTTTAATTTGCAATCCAACTTTGTTCATCCTCCTTATCTGCCTATTGGACCATGAATCCCATGGAGAGGATTAGAGTTCTTGTGGTGCTTAAGGGGGACTACATTTGCCTAGATAATCAGAAGAGATCCCTGACACCTTTCTTTTTCACTTCATTTCTCTTCTTTTTCTTCTTAATTAATCTTTCTATTCTCAGACTCTAAGCGTTCTTGGTGCAAAGATTCTCTCATAAATGTAGAATTGGTTTGAATTTTGGAAATCATTTCTTCTCTCCTTTTTGCAACACAGTCTTGTTATGTAGCCCAGGCTGGCCTCAAACTCCTGATCCTCCTCCTCTGCCTCCCAAGTGCTGGGATTACAATTGTGCACCATCATACCTGACTAAATTTTCCTTCTAATCTTTGATATTGACTTTAGACTTTCTGTTACAAAGCACAGGTGTGTGTGTGTATTTGTATGTGTACCTACGTGGGAAAGCTGATTGACCCAGGCCTTATGATTCTCTTATCTATAACCAGCTACTAAAACATAATGCTATTGGTCTTCAGGCTATTCTGTCTGACAGCACCCTGATTTCTGGATGTTTCTGTTCAAATATTCAGAACACTCAGGAGTAGGTCCTTGTCTCCACCCTGATCAATGCTGCCCTTTCATATTTCTAGGAGGGAAAACAGGCTATTTCACCAATGTCTTCAAGAAAGGGGACAAACTTTCTCCTTTGGGTAATTTTTTTTTTTCAGTACTGGGGTTTGAACTCAGAGTCTTGTGCTTGCTAGGCAAGCGCTCTACCACTTGAGCACAACCTTAGCCACTTTTTGCTTTAGTTACTTTTTAGATAGCATCTCAAGTTTTAAATAGGGCCAGCCTCACATGTTGATCCTCATATCTATGGTTTCCATGTAGCTGGGATTAAAAACATGTACCACCAAGCCCAACTTATTTGTTAAGATGAGATCTCACTAACTTTTTCCCTGGGGCTGAGCTCAAACCACAGTCTTCCCTCTTTCTGCCTCCCAAGTAGCTGGGATTACAATCATGAACTACCACATCAGGCCCCTTTAGAGGAAATCTTTATTACATAAATATATGGACACCAAGATACACACATACAATAATGTCCCTCTATGTATCCAAATATTGTTGAATAAGTCATGAATCACTGGTTGCAATTCAATCTCATGGCTCCTCCTTTTCATTACCACCTGCTGTGTTACCTGGGTTATTAGCAAAGGTGAGGAAGACTTGTTCCAGAGTAATCTGACTGAGGGAATAGTCTTCTAAACCAAATTTCTGTTTAGCTCCCTCCAAAATGCCAAACACCTTCAACAACAATGAAAACATGCAGTTATTTCAATCTCCTCTGTAGTCCCCAACCAAGATGAGCCTCTCCTTCCTTTCCCCAACTCCTGTCAAGTTTATGTGTCAGGGCAAAATGTACAGAAGGGTGAGATGAAAAAGTAGAATAGGAAACTGAGAGGAGGCAGTTCTCTGTCCCCATTTTCTTGGTGGACATGGGCTAATAATGGAATTTAGGAGTAGATACCAAGGCAATTAAATTCTAAGAGCATTTGAAAAGCAGCCTAACCATGACCACAATTCCAGGCTCTCATTTCACATGCCTGAATCCCAAATACTTCTAATCATTAGTGATCTCTCAACATGAAATGGTAGAAGGACATAGTTTCTATCATCACCTTTCCCCAGCTATTGTCCTTGCTGGGAATGTAGTAGTTAAGGATCCCTTGATTCTCCTGCTTCAAGTCACTACCTAAGAAAGGAAAACGTGACAGGTGAATACTCTTACAGATTTTGTTTTAAACTGCCAAAATGCTGATACATCTCCTTAATGTTATATACAGTGGAGAGGTAGATAGGTGGGGTTTATACAAAAGGGGAGGATATACCTCAATAATCCACTCTCTTGGTAAACATGACATGGTTAATGTTTTCAGATTTACTCCTGACAAAATAGTCTAATTATGTGGAGTTTATGGCAGTTATTGAAGGCACAAAAATTTGATAGCTCACCCTCCCAATGTAAACTACTGAACCACTTAAGAGTCTAATGTGACGGTAAGATTTTGTTGCTAAACATGTGGTGAGAATATGAACTGGGAGAATTTTCCTCCTGGTTCTCTCTCTCTCTCTTTCTGTATAGTGTGTTTGGCTGAGAGCAGGAAGAGAAGCTGCCTCAATATTCTTGTGATTACACAATCTCCCTGCCACATGAAAGAGGAGCCATTCATATAAATCACCAGAGTCAGACCCTGTGTTCTTGTTTCTTTTACAAGTGAGTAATAATTCACTGGTGGAATCAGAAGGAAAAGGGTAGTATTCATTCCTAATTTAGAATTTACAGATTTGTTTGCACTTTTATCTTTTTTTTTTTTTAACTCAGGGCTTTTTAAAGGAAGTGTTCTAATCAGTTGACCCACACCTTCAGCCCTTTTTGCTTTAGTTATCTTTCTGCAGATAGGATCACCCATTTTTGCCTAGGCCAGCCTTGGACTGTGATCCCCCTACTTATGCCTCCTGAATAGGTGGAATTACAGGTATGTACCACCACATTGTTTATTTATACTTTGCATTATTTATTTTTAGTTTAAATTAATTGAGATTAAAAATATTTTAAATTAAAATTAAATTTAAAAATACATAATTCTAATGCTATGTGGCTTTCTTACATGCTTTAAGCATGCATTATATCCATGATTACACAGATTATTTTTATTAAAAGACATTTCAAACATAGAACTTAGTGAATTATTTAAAACAAGTGCCTATGAACCCATCCCATCCAAGTCAACTAATGGTAACTCAGACTTTGTGCCACCTCTCAGCTTCTGACCTCCATAAAAAGTACCCAGTGCAGACCTCATAAAACTAAAAAGCTTCTGTTCATCAAAAGAAATGGTCTCTAAACTGAAGAGAACACCCACAGAGTGGGAGAAAATATTTGCCAGCTATACATCAGACAAAGGACTGATAACCAGAATATATAAGGAACTTAAAAAACTAAATACTCCCAAAACTAGTGAACCAATAAAGAAATGGACAAGTGAACTAAACAGAACTTTCTCAAAAGAAGAAATTCAAATGGCCAAAAAACACATGAAAAAATGCTCACCATCTCTAGCAATAAAGGAAATGCAAATTAAAACCACACTAAGATTCCACCTCACCCCTGTTAGAATAGCCATCATCAGCAACACCACCACCAACAGGTGTTGGCGAGGATGCAGGGAAAAAGGAACCCTCTTACACTGTTGGTGGGAATGTAGACTAGTACAACCACTCTGGAAAAAAATTTGGAGGCTACTTAAAAAGCTAGACATCGATCTACCATTTGATCCAGCAATACCACTCTTGGGGATGTACCCAAAAGACTGTAACACAGGTTACTCCAGAGGCACCTGCACACCCATGTTTATTGCGGCACTATTCACAATAGCCAAGTTATGGAAACAGCCAAGATGCCCCACCACTGACGAATGGATTAAGAAAATGTGGTATCTCTACACGATGGAATTTTATGCAGCCATGAAGAAGAACGAAATGTTATCATTTGCTGGTAAATGGATGGAATTGGAGAACATCATTCTGAGTGAGGTTAGCCTGGCCCAAAAGACCAAAAATCGCATGTTCCCTCATATGTGGACATTAGATCAAGGGCAAACACACAATGGGATTGGACTTTGAGCACATGATAAAAGCGAGAGCACACAAGGGAGGGGTGAGGATAGGTAAGACACCTAAAAAACTAGCTAGCATTTGTTGCCCTTAATTCAGAGAAACGAAAACAAATACCTTAAAAGCAACTGAGGCCAATAGGAAAAGGGGACCAGGAACTAGAGAAAAGGTTAGATCAAAAAGAATTAACCTAGAAGGTAACACACATGCACAGGAAATCAATGTGAGTCAATGCCCTGTATAGCTATCCTTATCTCAACCAGCAAAAACCCTTGTTCCTTCCTATTATTGCTTATACTCTCTCTACAACAAAATTAGAAATAAGGGCAAAATAGTTTCTGCTGGGTCTTGGGGGGGGGAGAGGGAGGGGGCGGAGTGGGAGGTAAGGGAGGGGGTGGGGGCAGGGGGGAGAAATGACCCAAGCCTTGTATGCACATATGAATAATAAAAGAAAAAAAAAGTACCCAGTGCCTTCATGGTCTCTTTATATAGATATGGACTCCTAAAATTTGTAAGTTTGAACTTTATATGAATGGAGTCATCCAGTATATATTCCTGTTTTTTTAAATAGTGCTGGGATTAAGTCCAGGTCTTCACGCTTGATAGGCAAGCACTCTACCGCTGAACTACATCCCCAACCCCAAATATTAAGTTACAGGAGAAGATGAAGACCATTCTATTATTATTTAATCTCAAGTCAGTTTGCTTTAGTGGGTTTGTTTTATTTCTGGTTATAGAATAGAGTTGGCTTTTAACTAATCTGATTTTTTTCATATAGTCAGAGTTAAGCCTTTTAATTTTTATTGATAGCACAATTGTTGCATAATTTCATATATATGGACATGCATATATCTACATACATGTATAAGAATAAACACACACCTATTTCCATTCCAGGGCCAATTCTATTGTTATATTTGTGATATAGGAAGGTGGATTATGTATCTTTGTTCAAATGGCTTACTTCCTACTAACATTTTTATATGAATACCATTAGTTCCCCTGCATTTTAGCATATTGTCTTTTTCCTTATTATGAACAACGTTGACCATACTAGCAAATTCTTAGTTCCCTCTGCCAAGATCTAATTTAAAGTAATATTCAGCTGGACATGGTGGTACATACCTATAACTCAGCACTTCGGAAGCTGAGGTAGGAGATTAAGAATTAGAGACTAGCCTGTGCTATATTGTGAGTTCTAGACATAGCAAGACCTCTCAGAACAATTTTTTAAAAAGTAAAATTCTTTTCTTCTCAGCTAATACCTAAAATGCATAAGTATTTAACATTCCATATATTCTTTGCCTTCTTCTCCTCTATTTAAAATAATTTGTCATATATATATTTCTAAAACATGTATCAATTATGTTATATTTATCACGCAGATACCCTTCATTTATCCTTAGTGTTATATATATACATACATACATACATACATACATATGCATGCATGTACGTAAGGCTCACCATTAGTGTTTTGTTGTTTTATTTCTTGGTAGGGTTTTGGCACAGGACCTTGTCTAGGCTGCCCTTAAACTCCTGATCATCCTGCCTCAGCCTCCTGAGTGCTGGGATTACAGGTATATGCCATTATGTCCAGCTTAATGCTCTTGTGCAGAAGCTTCTCCTAAATTTTTTAGTTCATTTTTTTGTATATTCTTTAAAAAGGACTCTTGGTAACAATATTTCCTGAATTATTCTGTGTTCATGACTCTTTGTGACTTTGAATCTTTAAAGTTATTTTGGCTGGAGATTAAAAAACACATACTTATGCTTTTCTTTTACTAAGTATCCTAAATATATTACATATTCTCTTAGCACAAAACTTCTTGTTAAAAATCTTCACTCAAAAACTTAACGAAGGATGTAAATGACCTATACTAGGAGAATTACAAACCACTGAAGAAAGAGATTGAGGAAGACTACAGAAGGTCTAAAGATCTCCCGTGCTCATGGAAAAGATCTCCCATGCTCATAGATTGGTAGAATCAACATAGTAAAAATGACATACTACCAAAAGCAATCTACATGTTCAATGCAATACCCATCAAAATTCCAATGACATTCATCACAGAGATTTTAAAATCTACCCTAAAGTTCATTGGAAACACAAAAGACCATGAATAGCCAAGGCAATACTGAGCAAAAAGAGCAATGCTGGAGGTATCACAATTCCTGACTTCGAAACATATTACAGAGCCATAGCAATAAAAACAGCATGGTACTGGCACAAAAACAGACGAAGACCAGTGGAACAGAATAGAGGATGTGGATATGAATCCACACAGCTATGCCCACCTTATTTTTGACAAAGGTGCCAAAAACATGATGGTGAAAAGACAGCCTCTTCAACAAATGGTGCTGGGAAAAGTGGTTATCTGCCTGCAGAAAACTGAAACTAGATCCATGTCTGTCACCTTGTACTAGTATGAACTCAAAGTGGATTAAGGACCCTAATATCAGACCTGCGACCTTGCAGTTAGTACACAAAAGGGCAGGGAATACCCTGGAAACAATAAGTATAGGCAAGACTTCCTCAGCAGAATTCCAGCAGCCCAGCAACTAAGAGAATGTATGAACAAATGGGACTTCATGAAATTATCCCAAAGTAGCAAAAACAATATGTCCTTCTTATCTTTTATATTTTCTCTCCAACAAAATCAGAGAAGAGGGCAGAACAGGTTCTGCCTGTAAGTGTGTGTGTGTGGGTACACAATGTAAGTAAGTGTAAAAGTGATAAAAGGAGAAAAGAAACAAAAAACCCCAAAATCTTTACTCAATCTGACTTTCCTTCACTTATGACTTGGGGTTTTCTTTGGTATACATATTCAGGTGTTCCTGATCCACTTTATTATTTAAGTACAGTAATATTTCTTGGTGCCAGTGGCCAGTAGTCAATTTTTTCAGGTATCTGCTTTTCTTTCAATATTAGGTTTGTTTTCTTTTATTTCAGGAAATTTTAGTTTTTAGCATTTCTTCTCTTCCACTGACTCATCTACTTTTCTAGTTGTATTGAGCTATCATTACCTTGCTTTTTTATGTATTTATATTTCTGTTTGCTATTTTTCTACTGTTCTCCTTTCCAAACTCCACTTCCTTTGTATTTTTTATGTTGTCTCTTTGCTCATGATAGGTGTATTTTTCTAAACTGTTTATTTAACAGAACACTCTCCATGCTATTAGTTGTCTTTATATATACCTCTCTATCTATTCATTTAATTTCTTAGTTCTTCTATTCACAATGTAGGATTTTCTTTCATAGTGCCTATCCCATTTGTAATTTGTTAAGCTCCTATTGAAAGGTACTTCTTTTTATCTGTTTTGTGGCATTATACATCTAAGGTGTATTTATGGTCAGGTTTTGCTCTTTCACTCACAATAGATTTCTGTGATGCTCAACCATAATTATTTCAGTTGTTTGCTTTTAAGTTAGGTCAATATTTTTTACAGTTTTGAAAGGAGTTTCCTGTGTTAGAGGTAGAGCAAGAAAAAAAAAACTTTCTTAGCTTCATGGCCGTAGCACTCCATCCTCAGTGTCTACTGGGATGTTTTAAGTAATATGGCTTCTCAGTGTAAACCTTCTCAGAATACTTTTTGACACCTGTGTTCTGAGGTTCTCTCTACACTCCAAGCCCGAAAGAGGGGTGCTTTCCTCCAGAGAGGATCTGTGCTTGCTTCTGCTTGGAGTCAAAGGAGGCTGCTGACCACCGTTTTTGGCCACCTGAGAGTCCTGCCTTTATATGCAAGTGCATGAATTTCTCAGCCCTGGAGAGGGTCTAGAGCCTCACCTCTGATCCCAGTGCTGACATCAGCACTTGCTTTGAGGATTTGTATTTTCTTACTGCTCACTCTCATGTTTCAGCTCCATTTCCTTTCTCTTATCTTTTCTTCCTTTAATTAGCCTTTTTTTTGGTTATTAAAGAATTTTCTTACTTTTGACTTGAGCCAAATATCTCATTAAGACTTTTTGTTTTAATTTTACCAAATTTTATTTTACTAGGAGGACTTTTTAGAGATTTAATCTTCTAAACTGCTAAAATGAAATCATCCTTTTGTGATTTTTACAAATGAATATCTGCTCATTTAAATTTTGTTGAGATTATTTAGAATCATTTACCCTAAATATATTCTGATCCCTGTGATAAGCCCTTTTCAGAAGTGTATATTCCAACTTCCCTTTGGCTAGTAATGGTTATTTCTTATTTTTAAAGTTAATATTTATGCATAGATTCCATAAAGTTCCCCTTTTTTGTTTTAATACTTGAACAGCTATTTGCTCAAGAATAATATAAGGAAGGATGGGGCAACAATCACTTTATACTTGAGATTCTCAAACCCACATTCCCACTTAAGTGCCATGTCCACATCCTTGAAGGACATACATCAGCGTTTACGTCCCTCCTTCAAGTAGAGTAAGTTGTTATGGCAGCTCACTGTAAATCAGGTGTTCTTGTCAAAGCTTCTCTTTGTGGTGATTTAGGCAGCACATCAAATAGAACTCTGATACAATGAATACTCAAAAATGTTTGCTAAGTGAATGCATAAGCACACGTTTAACTTTTTGATGGACGTGTATCTGCAGTTTTCTTAGAAATATCATGATCACTACGACCATCTCTGAGGTGATTATTTCCCCCTATCTGTTTTCCACATCTGCTCTACTATTTTTATCTACTTTCTAATCTCCGCTTCTACTGTATAATCAATCAATTTTCCATTGCTTGGAAGATAAAACTCAAGCTTCTTAGTCTAACACATAACAGGAACTTCTGTTATATTTTCACAGCCTAGTAAGGTAGAAACTAAGATGAAATCCATAATTACTAAAATTATTGCTATGCCTGTGCTTTAAGTTTAGAAAAGAGTGGTAAGGGACAGAAAAAACTTTTTTCTGAGACTAGTGTTGTGGCTCAAGTGGTACAGCACTTGCCTAGCAAGCATGAGGCCCTGAGTTCAAACTCTAGTGCCACCTGTATAATGCTGTTTTGCACTATACTATTTAAGCAGAAAAATATTTGCTGAATTTCTCATTCAGAAGTAGAAGACTCCTGAGAGAAACACTTACAAGATCTTGCTTGGATTTCAAAACTGTATCATGGCTGAGACAGTGAAAGGCCAGAGTTACATTTTTTTTTAACTACAAAGCAAAAAACCTTAAAATTTTTCATGGATTATGCTGTGGACTGAACTTTGTCCGTTTCAAAGTGCCTATGTTGAATTCCTAACTCCTAATGTGATTTTGTTTGGAGATAGGGTCTTAATGAGGCAATTAAGTTTAAATGAGGTCTTAAGGGTAAAGCCCCTAATCCACTATGATTGATGTCCTTTTAAGAAAAGGAAGAGGCATCAGGGATGTGTACACATAGAGAAAAAGGCCTTTGAGTACACAGTGAGCCAAGGAAGGGGGGCTTCAGAAGAAACCATACCAGCTGGTACCTTGATCTTGGACTTTTAACCTCTAGAACTGTGAAGAAATGACTTGTTTAAGCCATCCAATCTATGGTATTTTGTTCTGGTAGTCCTGGCAGACTGATGCAGATTATATGTTCAGAGAATTGAAATTATGCTCAAACCTTATGACCTTAAATTTTATGACTTGAGGTAATAAGTCATGTGGACAGCTGAAATGTGTAACTGCCTGTCTAGCTGGTACAAGAGATTGATGAGTACTTAGGTTATTTTCTGAAAAGGTAGCATAACCAGATACAAAAGATATTTAGGAACACAAATCCCATAAGAAACTCATTATTGGAGTTTAAAAATATCAACAACTTACAGGAGATAGTTGTTGGAGACACATAACATATGAATAGTGAGAACAACAAATATGATTTAACACATCTTTAACAAAGTGAGCCCAACCTAACTTACCTGGGAAAACATTAGCAATAAATCTTTTAAAATCTGCTATTATATTGCTATCTGTATTTTTAGTCTTGAACTTGACATTCAGGGTGTAAATATCACCAAACTTGTTCTTAAGATGTTGAGGGCTGCCCAGGCACATGAACTTTCCCTGCACCATGATAGCTAGCCTGGTACAAAGAGCCTCACATTCCTCCATACTAGAAAAACAAGATACCAGAATAATATAAGGTTAAAAATGTCTCCATTAGAGGATATTCTTTTGTAACTCAGACACCTAATATTTCATAATTGTCTTTGAAAAGGGAAGTTTCATTTGCCTATCACCAGGATTATAGGAAATGGAGATTTTTCAAATTCAAAAAGTAGAAGACATGCTCCTCAAAAGGAACAGCTCCAAAACTTCCAGCCCTCTCCTCACTCTTTATTATTTAACTTAGTGAGGGCTGTTGGGCATCCCATTCATTCGATTCCATTCATAAGGAGCTCACAAACTCAGGAAAATTTACTACCCTATATTCTTGGCCTCAAATAATTCCCTCTTACAGTTATTACAATTCACCTGTGAGAGGTTATGATGATGGCTTTTCCACTTTCACGTGTCTTTGTCACTGTGTCCCAGAGCAGGCGTTGGCTACAGGGTCCATGTCAGTCGATGGCTCATCCAGGAAGACCACTGAGGATTTTCCCATTAGGGCAATCGCAGTACTCAGCCTGCGTTTGCTTCCTCCACTTCGTGGCCAAAGAAGGAGAGAAAAAGTAGAAGCACATATAGCTATACGTTACAGTAATTTAAGATATAACACATTTATTTAATACACAAGTGCTATTTAAAAGAAACAATTTGCTAAGGTTTCTAAATTGCAGAGTCACAGGCAACAGTAGAGACAAAAAAATACTGATTATGTATGATTCTACTGAGGCAGAAACCCAAATCTAGATATATGAATCAATTCACTTTCATTGTAAATGTAGAAAGGATATCATGTCTATCTAATTGATTTTAAATTTAGTGAAATTTATAATTTTAGTCTTAGAGTTCCTTGGGATTCTCAGATATATAAACCACATGATGACTAGGAAATACAAACAGCCTCTCACTTGGTCTTTTTTGGGAGACAGAGAACCATAGCAACAGGGAAAGAGATTCTCTTTTGTAATTCATCGTGTACAATTCAAATAGAACAAGGTCTGTGAGTTTCATTTCTGAAAATAGAAGATGAAATATTCCCTTGGTCTGCTTTATTGCTGGCATCTCACCCTGGAGAAGCATTAGATTATGTCAGTGGATCATGCATTGATAAAGCAGAAATGCAGGCGCCGGGCTACAGGGTCCATGCCAGTCGATGGCTCATCCAGGAAGACCACTGAGGATTTTCCCATTAGGGCAATCGCTATGACAGCACCACAGTATCTCACCTCAAAGTGTAAATAAACTTGTCATCCTGGGAATCCAGATTCAGTGATTTCAATAAGCTGTTCACATAATCATTAATGTTGCTTGTGGGGATCCCCCACATGTTGGCATACATGGTCAATATTTCCCGAGCAGTCATGTAATCCAGCAAGGCATCAAACTGTGGACAATAGCCAATTTTTGACCTTACCTAAAATACAAGAATAGAAATAGACATAAGTCAATCATTCCACTGAGCATACCATAAATATGGATAATATAACAAGTCTTAATGTTCTCTAGCCCATACTGCTAAGAGAATTTGATGCCTCACAGTCCTTGCAAAGAATGTCTTTTCTACACTATATATAGAATATATTCTATATTTATTCACTGCATCTACACTGTCATGTATAACTCCAAGTGTGCATAAAAGTATGTGTCTAAGATAAATTTTTATAAGACAGAGTTATCATGCTATCATATGATCATAATTAACATATGAAATAAAAATAATTTAACATTAAAGCAGCACACCTATTTACAGAAATATATTTACCTGAAAAGGGGAATGAGAGAGAAAGAAGTTAGTCTACCATTGCCTCAACCTATACTCATTATAAGCCTAAAAGAAGTCTGATGACCCAAAAGACATCTGAAATTCATAACACAACGTATGATATTAAGGTTTGTTTGAGTTCAGTCCCAATGCATACCAAGGTTATCAAATCAAAGGCTGTTGTAGAGGGTGAAGATAGATAGCAATACCTCTATTAGGTTTGGTCACATCCTACTTTTGTTAGTGATGATGGATGGGCTATCTGTTGGGTCTTTCATCTTTCTCTAACATGCAGTATGTTTTTTTGAACATTATCTACAGTGCAAATGAGCAGAGTTGTGTTCCTAGCAATTCTTTCAGTCACATACTAGTCATAAAGGAAATCTTAGCATATTACAGAGAGTAGGTAACATTCATACAAAATATCTGACCACAAAAATGCAATTTAACTAAAAAGTAATGGCAAAATATCCTAGCACAAGAAAACCAGAAGTCCTTCTTTGTTCAAGTCTCAAATGACTCCTAGATATGATGTTTTAAGGACAATATAACATGGATTCAAAAATAATTGACTGCACCAATTAATAAGTAATTCGAAATTATATATAATAAAAATGGCAGCCAAGAGGAACAAATCTATGATAATCTCAGATATCTAAATTAGCATACCCACATGAGAAAACCACTATGCCTACTACTTTTTACCAAATAAGAGACTAATTTGAATATACTCCATTGTTTTTATTTTGAAAAATTCCAAACATATAGAAAACTTAAAAGAATAGCACAATAAACATTCATAAAACTTTTCACAAGAATTGCTGAAAGTGTAAGTGGAAAGCTTGACAATTATCTCTAAGCAACAGGAAACATACATACTTAGCTGATTTATAAAAAAAGCAAATACAATACAAATTAAAAATATAAATAAGATAACTATAACAAAATTTAACAAAAGATTTGATATATCTGAAGAAGTTATGAATTGGATGAAAAATCAGAAGAAATTATTTGGAAGGAGAATAAACTGACAAAAGGTGGAAAATATGAATGCTAACTTAAATGACATGGAGAATATGATAAAGAGATCCGAATAGGTAGCTAATTTGGGAATAGATGGAAAGAAGAGAGGATGAAGCAGAAGAAATATTTAAAACAATAAAGAAGGAAAATATCAAAACTGATGTAGGATTAAAGAATCTTAAATCTTAAGAAAATAAGCATATGGTTTACCTCCCAAATACTGTGACTGCTGCAACCCAAAAAAGTGAAAATATCCATAGCCTCCCAACCCCTATAAAAAGACCTATCACTTTAAAAAGACTGAGAGAAAGACAACCTTGTGAGAATCCCCTGGAAGCCAGAAACAAAAAGTAATATATCTTAAGTATTTTGGAAGATATAATAGCCAAACTAGATTCTAGACTCTGACAAATAGTTTTAAAGAATGAAGATAAATTAACTTGGTAACTAAACAATATATGTCTAAATAATTCAGCAGTCAAAGAGAAAGCCTTAGCAGAAATTAGGCAATATTCTGAATTCAACAAAGTGAAAATACAACTATGAAAATTTGAGGAATGTGTTGGAAAAGAAAGACCTTAAATCAATAAACTAATACCCTATCTTAAGAACTTAGAAAAAGAAAAGCAAAATAATACAAATCAAGATCAAAGAAGAAAATAATGATTTTAACAATGATTGGAGAAATCATAATTCTTGGATATTAATGGAAGAAATGTAACATGGTGCAGTCACTTTGAGAGTTCATTGAAAAGTTAAACATAGGGAGGGACCAAGATGGCAGATAGCTGATAGATCCTGGAACTCTGAGCTCTCACAAACTTGAAAGAAAACTTGAGGTTCATGGTGGCAAGGGTAGGGGAACCTGGCAACTTCACCAAGTAAGATATTTCCAACATATAATCAGACCAAATATACAATAATCTTTAAATTAGCTTTTATAGCACCAAACAGCTCCAGAAGCCTGGGAAATGTGGTTGCTGGCTACCACGTGAGCCGGGAAGTGGTTTCTTTTGTTGTTGTTGTTGTTATTTGTCTTTTTCCCTCTATCTCTCTGAAGAGGAAAAAAATCAATGCAGAAAGCTGCAGAACGAGTTCTGGAAGTGTCAAGGTTGTCCTGGACCCACCAAGATTTGTAGATGTGGGACCTCTGGCTAATGCCTGCCATCTGGGCCACCAAACCCTGATACCACTGAGAGAAACTACTACCCATTTAGGTGAGTTTGCCGCATCTTCAATCCTGTAGGAAACTGCATAGTCCAGTGCAGCTTGTTGGCACTGATTGCACCCCTCCTGGACAAAGCTGTTGGACTAATAAGTGGAATGAAATTATCTTTCTCTGCCTGGTAGATGAGGGGTGGCTCAGCCTGTGCAACCTGGGGAAAATAACACATTTGACCATGTTGAAGAAGCTGTAGGGAACAGAAACTAACTGCCTCCCCAGAGAAGAGCTTTTGACCAAAGGCTCAACTCTAGCTCCCAGGCTTGCCTGGTAGGTGGGAGGGGATGGTCACTGCTTACACATAAGCTCCTCACAGGACTACTTAAGAGAACCCATTTACTCAAACGAGCTGACCCTGACTGCCTCTACCCCCAAGAGGAGCCTGGGCTTAAATATCCTGAGTAGAGCCCCCCCACACCTGTCCAGTAGGGAGGGGCACCATCAACTGACACCCATTCAAGCATGTCAATCCCAAGGAGAGGCAGGGACCAAGAAAAAGCCACTATCAGAAGGAACAGCACCCAGGTTAGAAATTAGAGGGAAACACCAAGTGCATTCATTGAACTCAGAGGAAACTCACCCGTCTCCACAACAAGAAAGAAATCTGGAAAATAAACATATATTTAAAACAGAAATTTTACTTACCTTCTTTTCCCACTCTGTTGATTTAAATCTGCTTAGTCCTCTTTTGCTTCATTTTCTTTTCTGTCTCCCTGCTTTTTTCATTTCTTCTTCATTTTTCTTCTTTCCCATTCCTTATCTTCTCTCCTTCCCTTCCCTTTCCCTCCTTTGTCCCTATCTCCTCCACATTAACCACTCATTGAGTAGTCTATTCTATGAACTTTACAAATAATTACCATCCTTCCTATCCCTCTGTAATCCCTGACAGTAGCATCCTGCTCCACAAAGACACACTTTAGGGCCTCATTACACCAAAGCCCCCATACTTCATTGCAGTTCTCCCCCTTTGCCCATCCCCTCCCCATTTCCTCTTCTATCTCCATCATTTTTATTACCTACAGTTTAGTATCTATGCAAACAATTTTTATTTCCCCAAATACCTGATGTTTAATAGAAAATACCCTTGGCAATAGCCAAGGGTTTTATATACTATGTAAATAACTGGTTCAGATTTGAAAGCATGAATTTGTTATTGCTAATTATACCTCCAAGTCGGTGAACAGAGTAGATGCAACAAACTAGGTAACAATCAAGCTAGCTAGAGCACAGAAATTAGATCAAGGGAAAGGCAACAGGTGGTTAAAAACCCCCAACCAACTAAATCAACAACTCATGAGCAAATCTCAAAATAGAAACATGGAAAATAAAAGAAGGCAGAGGAATATAACTCGTCAATAGTTAGCAACCACACAATACTGGATTTGGTGGACAATGAAGGGGAGGGATCCTCAGTTGCTGAATCAGAAGAATAACAAGAATGTTAAAGGAGATTAAAGAGGGCCTAGCAACTCAATGAATACCAAGAGAATATGAACAAAAATAATGAGAAGACACAGAAATAGCTAAATGAACTCAAAGAGGACTTCAACAAACTTCAGAATGAAATTATAAATGAAGAGATAAATGAAATAATGAAGGCAATACAAGATGTGAAAGAGGAGCTTAGCAAAGATATGGAAAGTCTAAAAAAAAAAAGAATCAAACAGAACCCCTGGAAATAAAAAAAGTTCCTTAAGTCAAATAAAAAAGAGTTGAAAGTCACTTCAGCTCTGTAGAAGACAGAATTTCATGGCTTGAAGACAAAATAGATATTAAAAACAAAACAGAAAAATACTTAAAGACTGAAGAGTTGTAAAAAGAATTTACAAAAACTCTGCAATTCCATTAAAAGACCAAACCCAGGAAGTGGGGCATCAAAGGAGAAGTGGTACAAGCCAAAGGTATAGGAAACAAATCAGTAGCATAATAGCAGAAAAATTCCCAAATCTTGAGAAAGAAATGCCCATCCAGGTATAGGAGGTCTTTAGGACATTAAAAAGACATGACCCAAACAGAACCTCTCCACAGCATTTGATGTTAAAACAGTTAGCACAAAGAAAAAGGAAAGAATATTGAGGGCTGTAAGAGAGAAAAATCAAAGAACAAATAAGAGTAAATCCATTAAAATAATAGATTTCTCAACCAAAAATTTTAAAAGCAAGAAGTGCATGGAGTGAGGTATTTTGAGCATTGAAAGAAAACAATTTTTTTTTCTTTTTCTTTTATTATTCATATGTGCATACAAGGCTTGGTTCATTTCTCCCCCTGCCCCCACCCCCTCCCTTACCACCCACTACACCTCCTCCCTCTCCCCTCCACCCCCTCAATACCCAGAAGAAACTATTTTGCCCTTATTTCTAATTTTGTTTTTTTTTCCACTACAAAATAATTTATTACAATACAACTTCAGTGCAAAAACTCCTATGTACAAGCACACAGCACTGACTATCCTATTAGGGGACCCTCTTTTTCCCCCTTGCTTTGTGGACCTCTTCTATCAAATCTTTCAGATACTGGATCTCCTTGGCCAGAGCATCTGCCTTCTCTTTCAGAACCTCATTCTTCTTTTCTAGCTCTTTACATTCACCAGAATAATCAATGCCTATAATGTTTCCTGTCTGTGATCTCCCACCACTTGAGTCTTACCTGCACCCAGGTCATCATGCTTTTTTACATTCAGATAGTATAGTATCTTACTTTTAGGATATTTGTGGTGATGCTAAAGCCTTCAATGAACACATCTCCAGAAGTAGCAATCTCTTCTCCAGTCAAAATTTGAAAGGTAGTTGTTTTTCCAGCTCCATTTAATCCAAGCAATCCGAAGCACTCCTCCTTTTGGATAGCAAGGGAGATATTTCTCACAGCCAGAATGGATGGAAATTTATAAAATATCTTAAAAGACAAAGAAAACACAATATATATCAATATATCTATCTCTATCTATCCATCTACCTACCTAC